GGGGGTGCAAGCTTCACCAGACACCCGACAAGAAGGACAAGATGTTAAAGATCAATCTTCCCTTCTTAATTAGATAGGCAAGATACCTCCTATCCGTCATTCTCTTATCCAGCCGAACTCCCAAGAACTTAAAGGAATTCGTCAGAGGGATGAATTGATCCCCAACGTTAATCCGATGGAAGTCAGGAATCTTATTCTTGCGTGAGAAGATCACGCATTGAGACTTATCTGGGAAAATTTCAAGGCCCTTTGCGCGCAGATAAACATGCAGAGAATCTAGTGTGTTTTGCACTGACTCAACGGCCTTCTTGAGATTAGCATCGCTGACATAAATCACTATGTCATCTGCGTATTGCAACAGAGAAGAGTCATCTCAGGTGCAATTAGTTATGTCAGCAAGATATAGATTGAATAAGATCGGGCTAGGAACTTTGTGGGGTTCCCTTATGGACCACGTGTGGGTCACTCAATCTGCCGTCTCTAACAAAAAATATTTCTCTTTCCGAGACCAAACTCTGGATGAACATATGCAATTTAGCCGGAATACCGAAGCTCTTCAGACCATCAATGCGGATAGAAGGAACGACATTGTCGAATGCCCCAATGATGTCGATGAATACTCAGATCGTGAATTGCTCGGCCAAATTGGCCGCGTGAATATGATTAGACAAAGTCGTGAGGTTGTCCGTATACGAGCAAAAGGGCCTAAAGCCCATTTGAATTTCAGGAATGATCAGACGAGACTCAACCCATCATTTAAGCCTATAGTAAACAACCTTCTCCATTAATTTAAGTATATAGGATAGAAGAGAAATCGGTCTAACTTCATTGCCGGTCAGTTTAGGTATAAGTACCACGAGATTTTTTTCCAAGATTCAGGTACAACTCCGGGAAGCCGGTACATATCCAGGAAGCCATTAAAAATCTCAACGAGAGCGTCAGTAAATTTTTTGAGAAGAGATGAAATTATCTTATTATCGACCTGATCCAGCCCTGAGGTTGAATGCCTTTTAGCCTCCTTAATGGCGATGGAAACTTCATTACCGGTGATGTTAAGTAAATTCAATGAATTGGCTTCCTGCTTGAGCATGTCCGCGAGACAAGAGAGGCTGCCGTGAAAACAGGATGGAGGACACAACTTTTCTATAGCACCATCGTACGCACGGGGCAAATCTCTGTTAGAGTGTTGCTCTGAAGAGTTATCTAAATTTAAATTCCTATTTTTAAAAGTGTTATATCCAAGCTCCGTGCACATGCAGAGCTGAGGGAATGAACGTAACAAGGAACCGAATTGTTAGACCGATTTGGTCGTGTCCAAGCTTCGGACCGCAAGGGAGCCGTGGAGAAGGACCGACGCAAATCGGGAGGCGCTTCGCTTCGTCCTGAGGCTCCTAACGAGCCGGGGGTCGAACGGAGGACGAAGTGGAAACCTCTGCTCGTACTCCGCTAAACGGACACACGAATCGGACGTACTTTTAAAGGGCCCAAACTGGATCAGTGTGCCGAGAGGGCGTACTTTAACGCCAACTGCGCCAGTATGGCCGTATGCCTTTTCGGTCATGGAACTTAATCCAAGTGACCGGGGAGAGGGCGAAGTGCAATCGCGGGAGAACTTAAGAATACGAGGGGAGGTTTTATTTGAATAAAGACTACTGAGAAGTTAATTTAATAATGATATAATAAAAAAAAGCAAACTTGAGTGATACATTTTTTGAATAAAAAATAAATACAATTTTGTCAAGTAAATTAAAAAATAATACAATTTTTGGTTCTCTATTCTAAGTTATGTGTACGCATTTATGGATGTGTGAGAGTGGGTGTGTGCGCGCGCGCGTGTGTGCGTGTGTAAAGTATCGTGGCAGAATGGAAGAGTTACCAAGAGGATAGCGAGAGAATAAAAAGAGAAGGA